ATTCCTTTGCACAGCTCCCAGCCTGGAAGTAAATCAGAGGGTGGGCACTGCTGTTGGCACAGGTGAGCAGGAGAGAAGAGCTGAGGGCAAAGACAGAGAAGTCAAACACCCTCAGCAAGAGCCAGTACCCAAAATGAGCGGTGAAGAAGGACAAGGAGATGACAGGCAGCAGGAGCAGGGCACAGAGCTGCCGTGGGGGCTGTTTCCATGAGCAGCACAGGAGCCTGGCCAGCAGGGTGAGACCAGAACAGGTCAGGGGGAGCACTGAGAAGAGGTAGCTCAGGGCCAAGGCCATGAGTGCCAAAGGGTGGAAATAGAAGGTGACAGTGAGCAGGAAGGGGAGGAGCCAGAGCAGGGCACACACGAGCACTGGGAAGCACTGGGAGCAGTGGCAGGGCCAGCAGGACACGGGGAGGACACACAGAGCTGTCACAGCACTGAAGGCTGTCAGAGAGTAGATACCCACAGGGAAAGCCAAGAGCATGGTGACGTTCAGCCCAGCTGTCACAGCCCTGTCACGGGCCCAGCTGGTGGCAGAAGCTCTCAGGGACAGAAAATACCCCCAGGGCGATGGGGATGGAGAGCAGGAAGGTGAAGTCAGCCATGGCCAGGGGAGGACACAGATGGTGATGGGGTTCCTGCGGCTGCAGAAGCCGAGGAGCCAGAGCACAGCCCCGTTCCCCACCATTCCACACAGGCACAGCAGCAGCAGCGTGACAGGGACTTTGCTCCAGTGCCAGTGGTCACACTGGCTCCAGTTGGAGTGGTTCTCCTCATTCCAGCTCCCCTTGGATGCCTTCCCACCGGGCTGGCTCCAGCAGGCAGGGCTGGTTCCCTCCGTGGCAGGGGACAATGTGCTCCTTGTGACACCTCTGCTGCTTCTCCTTCCCCTCACACAGCTGCAGGGGTGACAAACACACACACCATAGAAACCCTGCTGTCCCCCAAACGTGGCTTTTCCCATCTTTTGCCACCCGCAGCTTCCATGTGGAGCAGCACAGGGAGAGGCAAGGCACAGGACAGAGTCACTTCCTCTGTAGCAAAAAAAAAAAACAACAAAAAAAAAACAAAATAAGTACCTCTGAGGAAATGAAACTCTGACATAAACAAAGATGCAATTTCCGACTC